CCCACAGATCGCGATAAGGAGAGTGACAGCTTTTAATAATTATTAAGGGAGTTTGCCAATGTGATATTGATTCAGTACACAAGTACTGCCTGATTTTGCCCTATTTCTTTAACGAAAATAGTTCCAAATATAGTAACATTTCAGCCACTTCGCATCTCTAAAAGCAAACACAGCGGAGTTTCATTTATTCAATGAAAATGCGTTTTTGAACGAATCTAGTGAGTCAGTGATTCATGATTGCCCATTCATAAAGACAGTCACTTGCTTCATTCCTGAATGAATCAGCCGTTCAAACGAATCAATTGAATGAATGATTCATTGAATTTTATTTATCACCAGTACTGACTTCAATGGATTTCATTAAATTCCTTTGAACACAACTGCTCAAAACGGTCAAAGTTTATGAAACCTACACATTCAAAACATTATTACTCTGACATTTTTAATGTAAATGTTAAGTGTAAGTGAAATGTTAAGTACTGTAAGGTCTTTCATGACACTACATATTCTGGGGTGTGAATTTGATAGGTGCTTGATATAAAATAAATGGTGCTTTAAAAAGTCCTTGAAAGTCCTTGAATCTGGTGTTCATGAAAGAGTGGGAACCCTGTATGTAAGCGTTTCCCATACATTAATTGATTTGTGGCACCCGACACAATATCAAAACAGACCGCCACAAATAGATTTTCCAAAAGGCTTTGACTCATGAATAAACATGAGCACTGCACGTTTCAAAATCGAAACCCGGTGCGGGTGTTTTTATATCAATGTATTTCTGAAGGAACATGTCTTCAGAAAATTTAGGATGTCATTTTCATTTCATGGATAAAGCAGCGTTTGTGCGGAGCGCTGCTTTGTATACAGCGTTACCGGGGAAACCTTGATCTCTACCACTCCAGCAGCGCCTCCTGCTGGCAGAGAACGAATTTGCATATACATGCCGCCATAAACGAGTGCAAGTCTGTGGGAAACACTGCAGTTTTACTCAAATGAAACTGTCAAATGCTCATGAAGTGACTCTCAGAGGGAGTCAGAGCAGTTCTGGAGATGTTGTTCATGTATTTATGTCCTCATGTAGTGATACGACAGAAGCTGAAATCACCGCGAGCGTCGCACACTTTGTATGTGTAGAAAACAAAACCACGCGTCTGTGCCATTTACATACACAAAGACACGCAGAACATGCAGGATTCATATTTAAATAGTATTTTTGTGGCTTAATATTTACAGATACTAGTCCATATCGCAACTCTATTTAAGTGTATTGACCTACTTTTGATTAATTCATCCAAAACTTTGACGTATTCCATGATATTCCGCGTCATACAGTAAATTCCATTTATATGATTGGATTCCGCTATTCCGTCCACATTTTCTGCATCGCGGACATCATACATAATATTGAGGTGTTTTGCAACTTCAGTGTAACGTTAGTGGATTGTGATTTATTGCAACCTAAGCAACGTCTGCTGCTGCCTTGCCTTTGAGAGACAACTGATGCGTGATCACTGAAGCAGCTGCAGTTAGCAAGCGCTTTCGGAGTGAGAGTGAATTACGCATTGATTGGTCGGACTCGTGACTCCCAACAATTCAGATGGGCGGTGGGCGGAGATTGTTTTAGGCCACAGAGTGGTGAGTTCTGACAGGCTGCATCAGAGCCAAATAGCGCGTTTCAAAATGAAGTTATTTTATCGGCGAATCGGTTTTCAAAATGACCGATAATCATAGAAATGCTTAATATCGGCGTCGATAATCGGCCAGGCCGATAATCGGTCGACCCCTAGTTTATTTATCAACTTTTATTTTAACATTAACCTGAGACATCTCAGATACACCTACATCTATCATGACTTTTCAAATATACAGACATATGCATGTGTGTATGTATGGGCTAAAAAATTAGTTAGTTATTTTATTAGTTAATACATGCAGGTGTTTAATGTCTTTCTGTCTACCTGCTGTTTTTAGTCGCTCATGCTGGATGGTGATGCTGGGCCCCTCTCTCCCAACTCTAAACCGCATATATGCGAGCACTGCAATGCAGCCTTCCGCAGTTCATATCATCTGCGTAGACATGTCCTCATTCACACAGGTGAGCAGATTTTACTGTTAACTCCACTAGAGCAGAGAGATTCAGACTCTGTATTCATGGGATGGTTCTGGTGACCAACATTAATGTGGTAAAATGCCTTTGCTTTTTATTTTACAGGTGAGAGGCCTTTCAGGTGCAGTCAGTGTAATATGAGCTTCATACAGAAGTACCTGCTGCAACGGCATGAGAAAATCCACAGCGGTGAGTCTGTTTACTTTTGTCTTATACTTGTCATAGGCAAATATTAAGATGGTGCCGAGACTCCTTTTTTTTTCTTGCTTAACAGGGGAGAAACCATTCAGCTGTGACCAGTGCAACATGCGCTTTATTCAGAAGTACCACATGGAGAGACACAAAAGGACACACAGTGGAGAAAAGCCATATAAATGTGACACCTGTCTACAGGTGAATTCTCAGATAATTATCTAGTATGAAAGTAGTAGTAATAATGAAAATGGATTTTGATTGAAATATAAAATATTTGGGTCAGTGACAAATAAGAGTGTCCACAATATTAGCTGCTATAGATAAACAGCTTGGAAGTATAACAAAATGCAGTGAACAGTACAGCTATTTGTGCTACATGCAAGTGTGTTTGATTACAATATATTAAAATACAACAACTACCAGTTTGCATTATTGAGTGACATAGACTGTTTTGGTGTATCTAAAATAACTGGAAGTCGATGACACTGGGGGAAAAATGGCTGTGCCCACACTTACATTAAAAATTGTGTAAAATTGAGCCTTCAAGATGGCTAACTTTGATCTATATCTGAGTCACTGGCTGGAGAACGAATGAGCGAGGAAATGTAGAAGCATCAATTTGAGTATCGAGAAGCACCCAATGTTTTTTTTTTTAACAAATGCATTGATCCGGACAAAATAATGAGCATGACCTAAAACATTTTTTTTCTTGCGCTGTAGTATTTCTCACGGACGGATCGATTACTGAAGCACAAGAGAACCTGTGGAGAAGCCATAAAGAAAGGTCTGGACCCAGGTTTGCTGGACCTTGGAGATGATGACATGGGTCAAGACAGCTACCTACTCACTCAGGGAAACACTAGCGCCCCACCACGCAAGAGGGGCAAGTCCAAAAGTAGCAATGAAGGAGGAGAGCGACGAAGGAAGAAAGGAGCAGCTGCGGGAGGAGGAGTGCAGATGGCACTCGGCCCACAAGACTATGCCTTGGACATCCCCAGTGGATTGGGGGCATCATCTTCAGGGGCTCTGGATGAGACAAGCATGGACAACCAGCATGGACACACACCCAAGCTTGTCTTTAAGAAAGGTGGCCACAAGGGAAATGACAAGGGTGCAGTTTCTATGGAGGAGCCCAACTACGAGCAGAAGCTGCTGATGCACAAACCAGGCTCTATGGACATGTCTGGTGCGGGAAATATGGATGGTCTCGGCCTCCTCCAAACCTCCAGTGGACCCAAACGAGGTACCAGCAGCAATTATGACGATGCCATGCAGTTTTTGAAAAAGAGACGGTACCTGCATGCTGCTAACAGCGCAGCTGACTTCAGCTCTGTCCACCTTCCACAGCCAACAGTAATCCAGGGTGGCATAGGAGAACCTACACTTGCCTTGCTTGACACCTCGCCTTTGGTAAGCGTTGACAAGCATGACAAATCAGGGATCCCAGATGAGGTGCTGCAGAGCCTGCTGGACCACTACAGCCACAAATCTGATGGCTCTCACCATGATGTGACATTCGATCTGCAAGATTCTCACCACGTGGAATTGCAGGCTGCCTCCTCCACCTCTGATTTGGGTCAGGATGAGAGATCTCCCGGCTCTGGAGACAAGAATGGGGTGATGAACGAGTACTCTAAATTCTTGCTCCAGACCCTGGAGAGAACCAGCCATAGCAGCAACTTTATTTTGGGCCCATCTGGACCCTTCCCAAGCCTCTTGTCGTCTAGCAGCAGCCCTGCTAGTACACTCTTCCCAGACAAAAACATCTACACCACCTCGCCACTGGAGTGTGTATTTGGACAGCCTGTTTCTTCTTCTCTTGCATCTTCCTCCTCAACATCCCTAAGCAAGTCCCATTTTGGAATGCTGGTTGGTTCTCCGTCAACTTCCCATGCCTCACCATCTTCTCAACAGGCCTTTCATCTCAGCAGTCTGGGGCCAGCCCCTCACCAGCAGCTTACCCCATCTCAAGAGCTCACCGACCACCTGGAGAAGCAGCACTCGCCGCCATACCCTCTCGCAACTCAGGAGCTGACCAATGGTGGCCAGAAAGACCAGCAGTCCAAGAACAGTGGCTCTTCGGCCAACAGCAGCAACAACGGGAACGGCACAGGTGGCGGCTCGGCTAACGGCTCTGTCTACCCTGACCTCACTGCCCTGGAGCCATCTAAGCAAGTGGACATGCGTTCCACCTACCAGATAGAGAACTTCGCCCAAGCCTTCGGGTCTCAATTCAAGTCTGGTCGCCAAACCCCACTTGGTTATGGTGGAGTCCCGCGAGTGGGTGTCGCAGAGGTTGACCACAGGATACAGCGGACTCCCGTGTCTGAATTCTCAGGGTATACTAGTCTGTTAGCAGATGCCAACGAGCCAGCTAGCTCAGGATCCAAAACCCCCACAAGCCAAAGTTACAGGTAAAGGTTGAGGGAGTATACCTGACCCTGTATGTGGGATGAGGACTGTCTCCAATGCCTCCCTCTCCTCGCTGATTAAAACTTTAATTAATACACTGCCATTAAATGTCAATAGAAGACGTTAACAGGGAAGGTCATCAAGACCTCAAATGCAATTTTTCATGTTCTTTTTAATGCGTTTTAGTCATTTTATTTTATTAGCATAGTGATGTAAGAGTAGATTTAAATGAAATTTCCAGTGAAATTAGAGGCTAACGAAGGACTTTTTCAGAAATCTTGTATGTCTTAGCAATCATAGTCCAATTGTAAGATTAAATTAAAAATGAAAGATGATTTACAATAATAACAGATGTCAGGGAGTGGCCCAGTATTCAATGGCAAAAAAATGTATTGTCTGTTACAATGATCCTAAAGTATTACTCAGGAAAAAGCAGTAACTTTTTTTAAAACGAGGTGCACTAGCACCCTTTTTTTACAGGTGTACTTTTGAAATGACAGTGAACATTCTTGTTTTTAGAAATTCCTTGAAGAAAAAGACAAAGCCAATCGGGAATCTGCATGTTCAGTGGTATGACACTGGGAACTCTTTCCACTTCTTGTGCGTTTGTAAAGTTTATGGTACTTCCAAAATCAGTCTGAAAACACTTTCATCCCTAAGGGCCTTGTTTAAAACACAAAAACATACTGGTAGTCAAGTAGGCAGATAGAAACATTCAAGCGTATGTAGATATTTATTTGTAGCTACATGGAACTACATAACTATTGTCTCAGGGTGAGCAGTAATTCTTATCCCCTTCTTTAAACTTTACTTTTTGTCAGCTGACATCACTTTGATCTCTCAAGTAATCAAGTAAGCACTTTTATAAACCACTGAAAGCGAGAATTCAGATTCCGGACACACAAAACTATTATTTTTGATGGAGAAAGCTGTGATTTTTAAAAGTGGGGGAGGGAACTGCAAATCCACTATAACAAAGGGCATTTTTGAATATTCATTGGGGGTTGTGGGCTTCTCTGAAGCATTTTTGCTCTGAAGGTGTTCAGGTATCATGACTATTTGACTTGGGCTGAACAGCAACAATTGGAGTTCTACCTCTTATTGCGTAGTTTTGAATTTCATGCCTGAAAACATTGCAAGCTTCCCATTTAAATTATTGCAGGGAGAAGAACCCAGTGAATCGGAAGGACCTAAACCTGTGGTGTTTTTGTTATGGAATGAGCTGTGAATTAGGGAAGGACTTGATGTTGCGACGAGGTGTTTTCTTTCCAATGCAATTTTTGATGCCCTTAGAAAGAGTGGTGGGCTTCTTTGTCTTCCTGTTTTTTGGCCCATGCAGCAAGACTGTCTGTTGTGAGGCCTTTCTGTGATCTTGCCCTTTTTTCTCCCTTGCCTTTCATGGAAACCTGTCCCAGAGAAATGCCATTGCTTTGATGGTGTCAAGAACAAAGTCTAAATGCTGCACTCCAAACTTGTTCCTTGCTTTTATAGAATGAAGAAAAAAAAAAAAGAAAGAATCAAATAAGCACTTTTATAAACCACCGAAAGCAAGAGTTCAGATTCAGTACACATAAAACTATTATTTTTGATGAAGAAAGCTGATTTTTACAAGTGATGGAGGGAACCGCAAATCTGCCATAACAAAAGGCAATTTTTGAATATTCATTGGGGGTATAGGTGATATTTTCTTCTTTTTATTAAAAACACTGTTATTGGACATGAATGCCACTTTATATAC